GACATGTGGGGAAGGGTGTATGTGCATGTCTGTGTGTGACAGAGAGAGACCGGGACACGTGTGGCAGGTTGTGTGTGTGCATGTCTGTGTGTGACCAACAGAGACTGGACACGTGGGGAAGGGTGTGTGTGTGCATGTCTGTGTGTGATACAGAGAGACTGGGACACGTAGGGAAGGGTGTGTGTGCATGTTTGTGTGTGACAGAGAGAGACCGGGACATGTGGGGAAGGGTGTGTGTGTGCATGTCTGTGTGTGATAGAGAGAGACCGGGACACGTGGGGAAGGGTGTGTGTGCATGTCTGTGTGTGACAGAGAGAGATTGGGACATCCTATCACCCAAGTGCAGAGACTGACAAAGCCAGGCAACAGGTCGGAGAAGGTGGGTGCTGGTGTACTCCTCAATATTTCCTCTCTAAAACTGTCCTTATTCTCCAAAAGAACTTTAAGCTCCCGAACAGCACTGATCCTTCTGCAATCTTGCAGCTGCTGCCCACTCCTCTGACATGGCCACTGCCCGTACTGACTCAGGACCACTGTCCCCACTGCCAAGCTGGGACCTGGGCTGCTGCTTGTTAACCCCACAATGGTAAGGTTTCCACAGGCACTTTGCAGGAGAAGAACCACATCATATATCTTCTACAACCTGCACAGATGTTGGCGATGAGCCTGGCCACCATCCTAGATGTTCATCAGTATTAGTTGATGAATTACTCAATAATCCATCCAATCTGTGCTAGGATTCTGCACACCAAGGGTCTGGCTTCACTGTTCGGAGAGAGGCGTTTACAGCAAAGAGTTTAAGAGCAGAGGTTCAAAGTAGGATGGCCAGGGTTCACAGGCCAGGTCCCCTGACTAAGAGACCTGGGACAAATTACTTCATCTTTCAGTGTCCAAGTGTATCCTTTAAAAAGGAAAAATGAAAATAGTGCTGTCTCTGTATGGCCCTCAACAGTTAAAAGGACAGCTGATATTTACTGGGTACTTCTGTAAGGCTATGGTGCTCTTTACAAGTCCTGTCTAATTTAATACTCAGAGCAACCACATGCAACAGCATTGCTTCTAGCCCCATGTTACAGACAAGGAGACTGAGCAGAGGCAGAAGGGATTTAGAAGTGCTTAAGTGGGATTCCAACCCCAGGAGCCACATTCCAGAGCCGGAGTTTTTGACCTGAATGGCCTCCCATGCAGCAGGCTGAGCAAAGTAGGAAACACCAAGATCTTCCTAAACAGGAGCAGCCTGAAATCTTGGAAAACAGCTCAGAAGCAAACAATAATTACAGAGCCACTGGAGGCCTGTGCCTGCAGCACAGCCTTGCAACCTCGCTCCTCTAGGAAGGCGGTCTAAGAGGAGCTGTCCCCCAGCTGTCCTCCCTGCTGGAGGCCATTCCTCTCCAGCCCTTTGTAGGAGCTACTTCAGAGCTGACCTCCACACCCCAGTCCTCAGCCACTGGTGGCCAATCAGGTTCCTAACACGGCCTTGAGTCCCCAAGTCATTCACACTATGCACATGGCCCTGTCCATCCTTAAGACAACCTCCCACCCGTCAGCCAAATGCCAAACTGTGGCACCAGATTCACTGACTTTGTACCAGTACACCCTCTCCCAGGAACAATTTTCTATCCTTTGTCATTGTGCATTTTAAAACTCAAATTTCCTTTCACAGAACATAAGCTCATCAAGGGTAGAAACTGTTTTACTCTCTCTACAACCCACCAAAGCACCACCAAGGCACCCTGGGCCTGCACACCATGGGCTCCAGCTCACAGATGGCACATTAATTCCAAAGATTATACACAGTAATAGTCAGTAACCATTATGAAAATGAGATGGGGGAGACCTGAATAAGTGCATGCTATTCCAAGTAACAAGCAAAGCCGTCAGCAAGTATCCGTAGGTACATCTCTGTGAGAAACCACATGGTCACCTGGTCCATTTACCTGCTTCTCCTTCCTCCTCACCCAAATTCAGCACAATGATGCAGATGTGCTTCCGCAGCTGGCGCGTGTTGGAGAACTTCCGACAGCACTTGCCACACTCCAGGCTGCTCGGGGTCAAGCCAGCCCCCTCCTCTGGAGCCAGTGGACCCTCGTCGCTAGGGTTCACAAAGTTTTCCACCAGCTCCTCTTCAGCACTGGGCTTCTTCGTGGACCCCTTAGGCCTGCCTCTCTTCCTCTTCATGACCAAAAACTCTGCAAAGGAAACAAGAAAGCAGGGTGGAATGACACTGGGTGGCAGGGCAGGGCATGCACTCAATTTCTAAATGTAAGAATATGTTCAGGTCTCCCATTTTATTAAAAATGAAAGTCTAAAGAAGCCCTAGAAGGGCCCGGCTGCAGCAGCATCACCAGTCCTACTGTCCCTGTGCCTAAATGCTGATGGCACTGGATCTTATGATATTCTGCCTCAAGACTGTCGGGTGAACCTTTGCACAAGCTCCTTCTATGAAGCTTGAGACCTAAGCTGTGGCTGTTGGCCCCCAGACCAAAATCCTCGCTAACCACCACTTCCTTTTAAATCCAGATCTCGCTGCTTCTTTACAAAGAGTTCTCAGACACTGCTGAGCTTGTCATACTCTTAATGAGTCAGACAACTATTCAGATTATTTCAAGAAGTCAAATTGTCCTGGTGAGAAAGAGAAAAAATAATTACAATCTAAAGCCACAAATTATAGGGCAAAGACAATAACAATATTTTTCAAGTTTCCTAGCGACCTACTGATTTTAAATGGCATGATCAGAGCTGCTTTAAAGCCAAGTTCCAAATCATTTTACAACATGCATTTCTTCTTAATTAGTGTTCATCTTTAAGGCTTTCATCTCTGAAATAAAGGTAGAAATTAAGAGCAAAGCAGGGTCTGGAAGCAGAGCAGCATGTACAGTCGTGCAAAGTGAAGCAGAAGATGTGACTTTGAGAGGAACCCCTGAAAGAGCCACTCCTGGTCAGGCCGAAGTCCCCAAGACCACAGCCATCTGTCTGACTAAAGAATGCAATCTGGGCAGTCCTCGGAATCTGGACAGCAGGGAAAAGGGAGGACTCCCGGGTCCTGGCATCATTTTGGTTGAAGACTGGTCTGTGGATGAGGACATCTTTGGGGGACCTTCCTGCTCTTTCTAAAGTGGCTCTGCACAGTGAAACACCAGCCACTTTACCCACCACTAGCACCACAGAGATCCTTTCATGAAAAGGGTGGCCTGTGTTCATGGTCAGAGAGGGAGGCTATGGGGCAGAGTCTACAGGGAAGGCAGTTCACCTGCAGGCACTCTAGATAAGGAAGCCAACCTTGGCACTGGGTTCCCATGAACATAGAGAGACAGGCGCCCATTCTCCTGGGGCAGGAGATTTCCAGGAGCAAAGCCTCTGCTGAGCTGCAACGAACAGGTCTGCCTTGGCTGAGGGACCAATCACAGCCTCTCCAGCCACAGCAACAGGCACAATTACAAACCATAAAGGCACACCGAGAGTCCAGACAGAACACGCAGCAGACCAGAGCCCTCAGTCCCTTCGCCAATACTGAATTTCAACGAGAAGACAAAGGCTGTTTCCAGGAGGACCAGCCCCCACATGTGGGGATGGGGGGGAGAAGGAATGCAGTGAGTAAGGAAAAAGTGTTTACCCCAAAGTCATTAAAACTTTCCCTATTATTATTCTTCAAAACAGCATGTACAACCTATTGAAGCAGCAATTGATATCAGAGCAGTAGAATTAGCAAAGTCTATGAAACACCCACCACATGTCACATTAGCTGAGCTGCACAAACATGGTTCATAACAGTCTATTGAAGTTTGTGGCCCAGATCTAACCCCAGTGATCAACTCTGGCATCCTGCCAAGAAGAAGCCACTGCTCTGAAATGCTCTCTCAGGACACAGCTGCGTATTCAAGAATTAACCTAAGTCAAGAGAGGTCCAGCCCTTTCTCTGGGTGACCGGGAGGGATCCCCAGACTCCTAGATGTCCCTCTGGATGGGAGGGTCTCTGTTTCCCTGGGGTCTTTGGCCCCTGTATGATTGATGATGCTTCACCTTGGCTCCAGTACATCAGCTCCAACCTCCAGAGGCACTGGAGAGCAGTCACAACCTCAAGGAGGGTCTGGAGACCGTTCAGGTGGCTGTGTGTCACTGAGGCCCAATAGACACTCTGGACAGCCAAGGCTCTGTGAGCTTCCTGGATGGAGATTATCTTGCTGTTGTCATGCACTAAAGACAGAGGAGATGTCTAGGACTTCCTGAGGGGACCAAAAGGAAATAACAGAACTTTCCTTAGTTCTGTGAATTCTTGCAAATTATCAAGCCTAAACAAGGCCCTAGAGATCCCCAATTTTGCAGCTAGCTGGTCAGAGAAGGTAGCCCTGGAGACCGCCCCGCCCCCCCCCCCCGGGTTGTGGCTGGTGTCAGAAGCCTGTTGAGGACTTAGTCATGTGGTGCCCTGTGCTCCTAACCTGGAGTTTGGCAAACTGGCATAGCAAGTCCCCACGTTTTCTCACAACACACCTGAGCACACAGCCAACAGCAGCAGTGCCGACTGTGCAAAAGACAGTTTGCTGGCAGCAGGCTGGGAATGCAGCCAGGGTGCCATCCAGCAGGGCTGTCTGGAAGTCTGTCTTCCCACAGAGTGGAGACTCCTTGAAGGCAGAGCCCTTGCCCTGCTGATGCCTCATCCACTCTGCACCTAGCCTGGTGCCCTGACCCAGTAAAGCTGGCTGAATTAAACTGATGAGCACGGTGCAATCTGGTTGTCAAGGAAGAAACACAAAATCGGCCCTGAAAGCTTTGAAAAGCCTCAAACACAATGGTGACAAAACTAATCTCCCATCTTGCTACATCCATAATTCAGATCCTCAAGACCAATTAGTTAGCTAAAAATGAAATATTCATAAATGAACTTGGAATAATTTAAGCACTGGAAACGAGTTGCTACTGTCAACCACCCACATTTTATAAAAAGAGCTGAGAATCCTGGAACCAGGCAAGGAAAACGATACAAGCTCTAAATCCAAACACTTGGAAGGAGCTAGTTGTCTATACTTCCTCTTCCTCCTCCCCAAATTCCTTTACTCAAGTGTCACTCAAATCTGGAGATTCTGTCACAAAAACATCTGCAGGGCAAACCCCTGTCCACCCAGGGCAACTGTGCCATCCCATGCCTGCACACAGTCTCCAGACTCCAAGGTGCCATTCCAGGTTCTCCCTGGCCCCAGCTCCTGTCTCCCTGTCATTCCTTGGCTCTAGAATCTTCCATCATTCTGGATGACTCTGCCCACATACAAAGACCAGATTTCTAGGTATAACCCTAGAAACACACACACACACACACTCTCACACACACACATACAGCACCCCCCTCTCCCTGCCTCGCCCTCCACCCCTCAGTGCCCTCCCCTAGACATGCAGATAGTCCCTGACTCTTTACTTACATGCAGTTCTAGTCCCCCTGCCTGTGACCATCTTCCTCATTCCCAATCAGACCCCCAACTCCAGTTCACATCCCAACATTTCAGGCCCAGCTCAAGTCTCAGCACCTCCTACCTAGGCTGTTCCCAGATGTTTTAAGCAGGTCAGGCCCTCGCGAGCTGACCCGCCTCACAACATGAACTCCTCATAGCAGAGTGTGGACAGTTTCCTAATTATTGCCCTTTTCCTCTCCTTGCACTGCAAACAGTAAGGTTTGAGCTGGGCTCTCAAGTCCTGGGTCCCACAGGAACTTAGACAGAGCTGAATATGGAATAGACATTTAATAAACACCTTGATCCACTGTTTGATGACTGAAAAAGAGGCATTTGGAAAATAAGTAATTTCTTATGTTCCAAGTTTCCAATTAGAAAAACGGGGGCTGGACCATGGTGCATCTGAACCTGCTCTAATCCCACAGTCTGGGGACAACTCCCTCTTGTCAGATAATCACCCATGCAGATCTCAAGAGAAAGCTGACAAGGGACAGAAAACATGAGGCAAAGACTTTTTAATTCAATCAAGACATGAGCATCATGGAAAAATAGCCCAACATAATCAAAAATTTAATAATGAATTCTTTATGTGCATCACTCAAGTTCGCAAGACCTTTCTCTGCTATTATCTCATTTTATTCTTAAAACCCTTATGAGACGAGTATAGCAAACATAACTTCTTCAACGGAAGAGGAAAAGGGAGCTCAAATGTTCCAGTGGCCTGGCACCCCTTCCAGGGAGGCGCCGAGCTGCAACCCTGGGACCTGGGTTTCCTCATTCCAGCCAAACTGTTCCTGCCGAGTCTCACCCACTATGGGTACTGAGGGTCATTTCCACACTAAAGGAGCCAATGCGTACGGCACAGAGCACATTGACTTGGAGTTACATAGACTTGGATGCAAATCCCCTCTGAGCCTCAGTTTCCAATGTGAAAAATAAACACAGAATTGTCCCTATTTTACAGAGTCACTGTTGACAACAGGGATCCACTATAGTCTGAGCATGGTACTGAGGGACTGATAAAACAACTACTGTTTATTATTCTGGCCATCGTCCCTAATATCCTGATTTGGAATTTCTCTTCCTAGCCAGTCCACTGTTAGATTATATGATTCCTTGATGTACATGCCTTCTTGCTTATTCTGACTCGGTGCATGTTTTTTCCTTAATTTCTTCCTTTTACAATAGCTCATACACCAAGAAATCCAATATAATCAGGAGCACATCCATTTTCTTCTGCCTTAGAGCACAGATACACAGCCTCCTGGTGCTCTCACTTGGCAACTCAATCTCCAGTCACACCAGCTCCAGAATTTTGGAAGATCCTGAAAGACAAACATTTTAGAGCCCTGACAGTCAATCTCCCTGACATTTACATCCAAAGCCCAAGAAGCACTAGGGGAGACAATGAATTATTTATCAGAGAAGAGGAAGTGTGAGCCTCTCAGGTGTCTGGAGGATGCGCACCCCCTCGGTGGGCCGGACTACATCCTGCTCTGCAGCACCAGGCACCAGGGCCCAAGGCTTCCCAGGGCTCCAACGGCCCTGTGGTGGAAATGCCTCGTGAACGAGAGCAGTGACTGATCCAGCACCCAGACCTCAGGCACCACTGCCAAATATTTCACATGCATTTCCTCACTTAACACCCAAAGGTATCCTTAGTATTGTCCCCTTTACACGGTCAAGAACACTGAGGCATACAAAGATTAATTAATATGTCCCAAGCTCACAGTGCCAGAGGCAGGATG